CCAGAGCCCAGCAGTTCGAGGGCTGCAGTAGCCGGGAGCGGCCACTGCACTCCAGTCTGGGCGACTGAGTGAGATTCCAACTCAAAAAAAAAAAAAAGAAAATCCTCCTTCAACAAGTCACACGTGTATACTTTTAGTGGGTGAACCATATGGCGTCACAGGAGGTGCACATGAAATACTTCAGTGAATGCTCACTGACTCATTAACTACCAAAGGTTCCACTTAGTTATGGCACCAGGAGGCAAGAGGATTGCCTGAGCTCAGGGGTTCAAGACCAGCCTGGGTAAATTAGCAAGACCTCGTCTTTACAATAAATCAAAAAATTAGCCGGGCGTGGTAGAGCACGCCTGTAGTTCCAGCTGGTTCAGCTGTAGTTCAGCTGGAAGGCTGAAGTGGAAGGATCGTCTGAGCCCAGCCTGTTGAGGTCACAGTGGCCGTGAGCATGCCACTGTACTCCAGTTTAGGCGACAGAGTGAGACTCCAACTCAAAAAAAAAAAAATACTAAAAATAAAAGGTTCCAGTGCCATTAAGAGGGGAAAAAGCAAACAAAAGATAGACCCGCAACATTCCTGGAGGAAAAACAGCAAGCACAATTGTTTTGTAGTCTTGACCTCAGAAAGCCTGGGCAATTCTTCCCAGGCACAGGAAGAAAGCAGCTGATTAGGGCTCAGCAGAACCCATCGGCCAGCATCCATCCATCCCCTTTGTTTACACAGCTACTTAAAGAATTGGAAAATGCTAAAATATGTTTGGTAGAGGAAAGTAGTTCTAGACGTCTGAAAGGCACGGAAACTACCCAGAAACCTTTAAGCTGCAGATTAAGGAATGTTGAGTGTTACAATGTAATCTAACAAGTACTCCGAAGAGGAGAGAAAAACAGGATTAAGGAAATGTATGTATAACCATGGCAGTGTTTAGTGAAATAGAGGGTTTTAAATAAAATAGGTTTTCCTGATGTTTTCCATGAAAGAAGGTATTTTGAGAAAAGGGAAGATAAAGCATAAGAGATGCTTTAATTAATCCCCATACAGAGAATCATATAAAATTAGCTGAGAGCAATGGCTCAAGTCTGTAATCCCAGCACTCTGGGAGGCCAAAGCAGGAGGATCTCTTGAGGCCAGGAGTTAAAGACCAGCCTAGGCAACATATCGAGACCTCATCTCTAAAAAAAAAAAACCATAAAAAAATCAGCCAGGCTTGGTGGTGTGTTCCTGTAGTCCCAGCTACCCAGAAGGCTAAGGTAGGAGATTGAACCCAGTTCAAGGCTGCAGTGAGCTATGATTTTACAACTGCATTCCAGTCTGGGTGACAGAGCAAAACTCTGTCTTAAAAAAAAATTCAGCTGGGCTCGGTGGCTCAGCCTGTGATTCTGCGCCTTGGGAGGCTGAGGTGAGTGAATTGCCTGAGCCCGCAGTTTCGAGACCCACCTGGGCAACTTGGGTGAGACCTCATCTCTATAATAAATCAAAAAAATAATAAAATAAAATAAAATAAAAATTCATGTAAAATTATTTGGGCTTTAAGTCAAGGTTATGTCCAATTCCCACTGTTCTTTTTTTTTTTCTTCTTTTTTTCAGTTGGAGTCTCACTCTGTCACTCAGGCTTGAGTGCAGTTGCACGCTCATGGCCACCACAGCCTCAACTTGCTAGGCTCAGGCAATCCTTCCACCTCAGCCTTCCAAGTAGCTATAATTATAGGCACGTGGTGTCACGTCCGGCTAATTTTTTAATTTATTGTAGAGATGAGGTCTCACCAAGTTGCCCGGGCTGGTCTCAAACCTGTGGACTCAGGCAATCCTCTCACCTTGGCCTCTCAAAGTGCTGGGATTATAGGTGTGAACTACGGTGCCCAGCCTCCCGCTGTCCTTTTTTGCAGTCAACCAGACTTCCACCTGCCTCTGACACTTACTGGTGGTGGGTGTAAGACATAGCTCCCTAGACCTGTCTTTTGTTCTGTGAAATAGGGATACCAATGAAGCTGATCCCAGGAAACGACTGTAAGGACTCTGTAAGATAGCACACATAAAACACTGAGCCCTGGGTCTGGCACAGAACAGATATACAATAAACATTAGCTACTATGATTTTAGCTATTGTTTTATTACACTCGCCCCTCTCCTATAAACACATAAATCTCTACTACTTTAAATGTCAAAGACTCTTTTTTATTCCATTTGTTACATGAAACTAGCTGACCTCTTATTCTCTTTGATGATGCCACAAAAAGACCCCAAGTCAACAAACTTTGCAGTCTCCACACTTAGTCTATATCCACTGGGGAGGTTTCACTCTTTTGGCCACCTGCATCAAACAGTCCTGTCCAAGTCGTGTCTGGTGCTTTTCTCAAGCACTAGAGGAAGGACACGGCAGCGCCCGCCTTGCTCCAGGAGCACACTGGCCCAGCCACCTGCCCACCTGCTCCGCGTGTAGCTCTGCGAGGTGGCAGAGCGCGACGGCAAACGACTCCGTGTTGTTCTGCTGCACTCCCGCATTCACCGACTCCAGGCTGTTCATGCTCAGCAACATCTGGGCTTGCTGCAGTGCCATGGTACTGGGTGAGGAGAGGAAACAGGATCCCCCTTCAGTTAGCAGGCCAAGGCTCCCCTTCGCCACACCCATCATTTATCTTGAGTGGAAATGCAAACAAGTGACACCCCTCCACAGGCTCTGGCTTTCTGGGAACAGCTGCCTCCCAATGCCAGCAATCCCGCCCTGAGGAAAAGGAGAGTGGAAAGCATCCTGGATGTGCAGACCCAAAGGAGACAGGTGATGGTTAGAGCACAACTGGGTGCTCCAAGCTCCCAGATCCCCCACTCCCAGCCCCACCCCGATGTTCCCTCTGGTGACAGTCTGCTAATTAGTTTTCACGGGCAAATTCAGACCCGATGCCATCCTGGCACAGGCTGCTCTGGCAATGTAAGCAGTGGCCAGTGTCTGCAGCTGTTTCAGAGCACACCGTGCCAAAAAATTATCTGAAATACAAAAACAAGACTGGTAAAATAAGCACTTTCTTTCATTACTGACTTCCTAGAAATAGTAGATTGTCTAGCTGAGGATTAAAATCTGGTTCAGAAGTTTACTTCCAAGCAAAAGGTGGCTAAATGAAGAAGTAAACATGAGGCGGAAAATAGTGCAGAGCAAACACCTTGGTTAACAGAAAGCAACTTTCTCTATACAATAGCTTTGGGGTTCAGGGGATGCTTGGCTTGAATGACCATGGACCATGCCTCCTGCAAACAGGAAGAAAGGTGTCAAAGCACAGGAGTACAGTGCTTAGAATCAAGCGACCTGGGTTTGAGTCCTGGTTCTGACACCTGTTAACTACATGTGTGAATTTGGGAATAACAGATAGGTGAACCCTGGTTTACTTATTCCAGAATGGAGATCACCCACCAGTTACCACACAGAGCATCTGGGAGGACTAGGTAAGAACACGTGGAAAAAAATTTTGCAAAGTCTGTGTAAAATACAAAATGTTTTTAGACTATACAATGTTTTGTCTAATCCTCTGCATAAACAACTTCTACCAGAGAGGGGAAATCCTTGCACATTTGGCCTTTCTTAGAACTAGTTTGCTAGCTGCTGCTTGTCTCTGAAAGATTCACACTGCCATGTCCTTGGCAGTTGCATGAAGACCTACCTGCGGCCGTAGAGCCTCCAGATGGCCGTTTTCTGTGCGATACTGATGTCGATGAGCTCTGACAGGCTGTGTTTCCAGTGCAGGAGGTCAGAGTCCTTCAGGGCATCCATCAGCTTGTTTGCCGTCTTCCCAGCAAAAGCTCTCTGTTGAACAAGGGACTGTATTCCCAGGGAGGCGAGGTACTAAGGGGACAGATATACCCACGACCCAAGATAGAGATTACATGACAGAATTTGTTTTGCTCTTCAGAAATGTGGTGGATTTCACATTTCAGCACATGCACAGTGACAGCACTATTTAAAAGGAAAGTACCTACAACCTGACCTTAACCCTCATCCACATGAGATGTGTTCCTGAAAAACTGGGGCTGGCAGAGAGGCAGAAGGCACATGGGGAAGAGCCAGCAGGGCTTTGGCATTAGATGGACCTGGACTTAAATACTGCCTCTGCTACTTACTGTGTGCCTTAGGGCCAGTCTCTTAGCTTCTTAGCTAAGCCTCAGCTTCCTCATCTGTAAAATGGGCATCAAACCTATCATAAAGAATTGTTGTAAAATTACAATGAAATAATAGATGTCAAACAGTGCTGGGCACATTATGTAATAGAAGATCAAAAAAGGATGCCTACCATGAGCAACAAAACTATCTTTTCATTAACTTCTGGTATATTCTTCAAGGATGAAAGCTCAACTCAAAAAAGTCAGCTTAAATCCATAGCAAGAATTGTACTTTAGAAGTCTATCATTTATTTCAAGGAGCCACTTTTACCATTACAATCAATTCTGTACATAAGTTTCCTTTCCCAGAAGTGAATCACATGGATAATATACAAATTTTAAAAGCAAAGGCATTAAATTACTACACATAATTACTTTTGATTTTACTGAAGTCTGTCACAAACTTCCCGAGACAAGGCTTAAGCAGTCCCGCTGTATGTGGTCCAGTCTTCAGTTTAGTATTTGTTTGTTTGTTTTTTGAGTCTCACTGTCACCCAGGCTGGATGGAGTACAGTAGCACTCTCATGGCCACCACAGCCTCGACCCGCTGGGCTCAGGCAATCCTTCCACCTCAGCCTTCCAAGTAGGTGGAACCACAGATGTGCGCCACCACACCCGGCTAATTTTATTTATTGTAAAAACAAGGTCTCGCCAAGTTGCCCAGCCTGGTCTCGAACCCCTAGGCTCAGGCAATTCTCTGGCCTCCACCTACCAAAGTGCTGGGATTACAGGCATGAGCCACCACACCCAGCTAGCTGAGTTTTTAAGAGAATAAGGTTCTTCAAGCATGTACTTCATGCAGGTAAACATGCCCTTTCAATGCTCCTCAACATGTCATTCAGAACTGTAATTCAGATCCTTCCCTGTCACTCAAAGTAAGAAAGGACAAATCTGCCTGTCAGGTTTACTGGTCCCTGGCTTTGTTTATTATTTAAAACAAGAATCAGCAAACTCATTCTGTAATAATTTAGATTTTTCAGGCCACATTTGGTTTCTGTCACATATTCTTTGTTGTTTTTTCCCCCAACTATTTAAAAATGTAAAAACCATTCTTAGCTCAAAGACCATACGCAGACAGAGATCCAGTTTTGGCCCAAGGGTTGTGAAGTTTGCCATTTCTTGGTTTAAGCCTTTTCTAAAATATTTCTAAGTGAATATGTGCTAGACTAATGTTGCTCAATAAACTAAGCAAAGATCTCTTATCACAGTGCTAAATGGAACATCCACAGATGTTATTAGGAAGAAGGGAACAGAGAGAAACCTACCAAACAGAATTTAGTGGTGTGATTAATAATTAAAGTCATATGAAATGTCAAGAATAAAACCACACTTTAAAATACCCATTCTAAATCTATCACTGGTTCATGACAGAGGTGGGTGGAAAAAGAGACAAAGGCTCAACACCATTTATGGAAACAATCTCACAGAAAGATGAGCCTTACCGGTAACCCAAAATGTACTGCTTTCTTCACAGAATGCTCCAGCAGAACATAGCTATCGGATCTCTTCTGCCCCAGCACATAAAGCCAGCTCTGGCAAGAGAAATCATCAAAATATATCATAATAATGGTAATGGTTAATGTTCCAGTGAAATATCAGGGTGTCATAAGAGAGAACTACACATCTTCAAAATAAAAAAATTTAAAAAAAAGAACGATCTAAAAAGGGAGAAAATAAACACTCTAAAACACTCTTTCACGAATTATGAACCTTGAAATCTGTCAAACATATTAAAACCATTAAAACCAGACTGAAATAAAGAAGCCATTAACCTGGTTTACCTTTGACAAGCTGTGATGAGTATTTCAGAAAAAAGCATAAAGCCCTCACGTGGGGGGGGGCCTTTTAATTGAGAAAGAAGATTCTCAGGTGATTGTCAAATGGCTTCTGTGTTCTACTTGTGCTTGGCGGTTATCCTTTTATATGACATATGACATCTCACTCAGTTACTAGGTATAGCATACATTTTTTTGGTTAATGCCAATAGTTAAAGGTTTACTCTTTCTTCATGGCAAGTTGCATTAAAATATGCAGACAAGCAATATCCCCAAAGCAGAACAGGTGTCACGAATTAAGAAAGGTAAATATGATTTGCCCTTTCTGAATTCCCACAACCACCTCACTACTTTCCCTTCGCTACTGAAGACCTTTGCTCCAACTTCAAAACAACCCAATTCACACAAAGCCTTACAGAAGGCCAACTCAACCCATGAGCAAAACTCCCAAGACCAGAGGATGGCCTCACCAAACAATGCTGGAGACAGACGTGGTCATTGGATTCCTGGGCAATCCTAATTGCCTCCTGCAGGGCGAGCTCTGCCTGTTGACTAATGACAGACTAAACATTAATATCCCATTAACAATTACAAACATGCACAAGCAACCATAGCAGGAAGTCATCTGCACACAATTCATCTGGAAGTTGTAACTATTTATGGGTTTATTCTCTCAGAGGCCTGCCCCAGCAGCAGGAAATATTAACAGTGGAGATATAGGGCAAGTCCCTTTTAAGGTGAATTTCTACTAAAAAGGGGCGTGAAGGAAAGGCTTTTATCTCTGTTTCTAACATGTTTATTTTTGTGGTCCTCTGCTGAGGAGAAGGGCAAGGAGAGGACAAAAGATTTTACTTTTCACTGAATTCCGTTCTGCTTTATTTGAAGTTTTTCTTACTCGTGCATTTGTTACTTTTATCACTTTGTCAAGACTAGTTTTAACAAGTATCTTGGGGGTCACGTACAGTGGTTCACACCTGTAATCCCGGCACTTTGGGAAGCTGAGGAGGGTGGATTGCTTGATCCCAGGAGTTCAAGACCAGCCTGGGCAACACAGCAAAACCTCGTCTCTACAAAAAAAAAAAAAAAATCAGAAAAACAGCCAGGTGTGGTGTCACATGCCTGTTGTCCCAGCTACTTGGGAGAGGCAAAGGCGGACTGCCTGAGCCCAGGAGGTAGAGGCTGCAGTGAGTTATGATCATCCCACTGCACTCCAGCCTGGGTGACGGAGACCTTGAGTCAAAAAAAAAGTATCTTATCTTGAGGATCCCCTCTTGTTGGCAGAGATCAAGGAGGTCTTATCTGCTACCTTTCATTTAAACAGATTTATATAAATCAAGGAAGTGAGTGACCTAGGTGTATATCTCGAGTAAAAGTGTTCCCTGTCTCTAGGAAAATAATAGCAGTCCCCAGCGTCACTCTCTAACCCCTTATCCTGAGCTAACACTACCCGACATATTGTAATTATGCTTAGTGGTGTTTATTGTCTATCTCTCCAACAATAAGCTCCATAACAGGGATTTTTTTTTCCTTTTTTCGCTGCTGTATCCCCAGTACCTACAATAATGCCTCGCAGCCGGGTTCGGTGGTTCAGCCTGTAATCCCACGCCTTGGGAGGCTGAGGTGAGTGGATTGCCTGAGCCCGTGGGTTCGAGGCCTGCCTGGGCAACTTGGCGAGACCTCATCTCTACAATAAATCAAAAACTTGGCCGGGCGTGGTAGCGCACACCTGTAGTTACAGTTACTTGGAAGGCTGAGATGGAAGGATCGCTGGAGCCCAGCAGGTCGAGGCTGCAGTGGCCAGTAGTGACCACTGCACTCCAGTCTGGGCGACAGAGTGAGACTCCGACTCAAAAAAAAAAAGAATAATGCCTCACATACAGTAGATGCTCAAAACACAACTATATGGATTTTTAAGAAATCTCCACAATTCTTTTAGCTAAGTGACAAAGATTTACACAGGCCCATAGATCCAGGACCAGAAACATAGAAGACTGAACCTGAGTAAATCAGGAATCAAGAAAAACAAACACATTAATAAAAATCTACCTTTCAGCTGGGCTCGGTGGCTCAGCCTATAATCCCGCACCTTTAGGAGGCTGAGGTGAGTGGATCACCTGAGCCCATGGGTTCGAGACCCGCCTGGGCAGCAAGACCTCATCTTTACAATAAATCAAAAAATCAGCTGGGCGAGGTAGCGCATGCCTGTAATTCTGGTTACTCAGAAGGCTGAGGCGGAAGGATCGCCGGAGCCCAGCAGGCGAGGTGTGGTGGCCGGGAGTGGCTACTGCACTCCAGTCTGGGTGACTGAGTGAGACTCCAACTCAAAAAAAAAAAACAAAAACTACCTTTCCTCATGTATATTATGTCCAATTAGCTGTGTTCTACTTGTGCTTGGTGGTTATGCTTTTACAGGACACTGTCTCACCCAGTTACTAGGTATAGCATACTTTTTTTTAACGCCAATAGTTAAAGATTTCACGAGATCCATTAAGTAGCTGGGACTATAGGTGCAAGCCACCTGTAGTTAGGTGTCTATTCATTGATAATATCGTAAACATAAAGAAAATGTTCATCAAAAGATCATTTGTATCTAGAAATACGAATTTCCAAACCCTGTGGAAAGCAGTTTTTAACTAGGTTAAATATGCTATTAGTAAATATTACAAACGGCATTGAGATTACTTATGAGTACATTTTTTTTTTTTTTTTTTGAGTTGGAGTCTCA